AGCCACTCAGTTTGTGCGCTGTATTACAGCAGCCCTGGCAAACTAATCCAACTATTATGTACATCTCTCTGAAAGAAAATGATGTCTAGTCACCCCTTCAAATTCACAAATTAAAGGTCTATCCAAAAAACAAAATAAAAGCCCACACAGAAAAAAATTTAAAAATCACATTGTAAATTTAGAGTTTGATCTATGCTCTTAAACCACCTTTAAGCTGACTTTTCAAACAAACACCCTTACTGGCCAATATATACATTCTCCGTTTGCTTTTTTAAGAAAATGATAGCCTTTAAGGTATTCCCAATCAACTGAAGAACTAGTTTATAATATCTTTACTTAAAAAGAGATACGGGAGGGACGCCTGGGTGGCTTATTCGGTTAAGCAGTTAAGCACCTGACCTTTGATCTCAGCTCAGGTCTACATCTCAGGGTCGTGAGTTCAAGCCCCCCGTTGGGCTCCAACGCTGGCTGAGGAGCCTACTTAAAAAAAATGGGGGGGGGGTGCCTGGGTGGCTCAGTCAGTTAAGCGTCTCCCTTTGGCTCAGGTCATGATCCCAGGGTCCAGGGGGTCTGCTTCTCCCTCGCCCTCTGCCCCTTCCTCCCTTCTTGTGTGCTCTCTCTCTCAAATAAATAAATAAAATCTTTTTTTAAAAAGGATGTGGGATGGATAGAAGACACACCCATTTAACAGATGAGTAAAAAGACTCAAGCAAAGAAGCCATTGGCTCTATTTCATCTGATACCAAATTTTATGCTATAGACATCATTTTTTGTTTATTCTCTCCATGCTCAGTAACAAGGAGCTTGACCACAGAATCCTCTCTTGAAATGCTACTTGGTAGACAAGTTTTGGCTTCCTCTGAGAACACCGAGAAAAGAATGGAGTTAGAGAAGAAAGTGTTAATAGCCCAAATTACAGCAATTCCCTAAGATGCAATTTTGTAACTTTATTTTAGTCACTGCTAAATGGCTACCATTTCCAACTCCTACAGCTCCATATGCTTTATATTCATTCTCTCATTTAATCCTAACAATAAGCCTCTGAGGTAAAGAGTATTGTTTTACTGTCACTTGCTTGAGTTCCAAATGTATTACATATATTGTATATATATTACACGTTAATGTATGTATATGTGTATATAGAGAGGGGAAATTTTATATATATGTGTGTATCCATCCATCCATACTTACATATATATTTATATGCATATATAAATACACACACAGACATATAAAAGAATACATATGTGTGTTTATATATTACACGTATTCACAGAAGAATAGATTGGATTTAGGAGATCATGGTGGCCACCAGCTGAGGAACTTTAGGATACACATGCCCCATTTGATAGAACCTTACAAGAACTGATGCTAACATGAAATATTTAACAATAGCAGAAGTCTGGAGCAAATATGAATGCAAAAATAACACTGGAGTAAGGAAAGTAATCTTAGCACTGGTGTGATTTCATCCACATGATGTAACCATCTTAGGAAAGTGGGGATCATTAAGCAAACATTCCAGAAACATGTCACATTATTCCAAGATTCCAAGCTTCAAAATAGATTATTGTAAATTATGTAACTATTTGCAGTGATTAACTGTTCATATTCACCAATCTATCCATCCTTGGCTTAAAACCATTTAGTGACTTCCCATTAGACTTGGAATAAAAGTCTGAGCCCTTACCATGCCTTTCGTGTCAGTCTGGGTCTAGGAAAACAGAATTTAAAGTAGGAAATTCATATAAGAGGTGGTGGGAACACTAAGGTAACTTTACTGCAGGAAGTAGCTCCCACCTTGATGGAGAACGAGTTAGGGAGATCAGAGCTAGAAGAATCAGAAGGGGAGCCTGTAAGAACCTGGAGACTGAATCAAATGCCACTGTGAGAAGGAGCATGTCATTACTTAGGTGACCATGATGAGAACGGCAAGGAAACAGTCATGAGTAAGTCCCTTTTCCCTCCCCCTGCCTTCCAGATTCCCCAGATTCTCTCCTGGTGACAAAACCTAACCCTAGCTGACAAAAGAGCAATATGGTTTGCAGCCCCAATATTGTGGAACGGAATAGAGAAAACTGGATTTGGAACTGAGAGGCCAGCCCAGCCTTCAAGGGCCGATGTGATCTAGCACCTGCCTACGTGTCCAGCCTGATCCACTCCATTCTCCCCACCATGTGCTCAATTCCAATCACACTGGGTGTCTTTTTCTTTCCCAAGCACACTAAGCTCATTCCCGCCTCCAGACATTCACACATGCTATTCCCTCTACCTAAAAGTACCTTTTCCCTTGGGTCCTATTTATTTAGGGTATAACTTAAAGCCACCAACCAGAGGATTTCTCTGACTTCATCAGATCTACAGAAGCAACCCTCTCCCCACTCATGTTCTGTAAAATTCCCCCATTTTCATCTTACTCGTAGCATTAATCACTATTTAAGATTATCTTTTTTTTTCCCTAAGATTTTATTTTTAAGTAATCTCCACACTCAACATGGGGCTCAAACTCACAAGTCCGAGATCAAGAGTTGCACACTCCAGGGGCACCTTGGTGGCTCAGTTGGTTGAATAGGTCTGCCTTAAGCTCAGGTCATGATCTCAGGGTCCTGGGATCAAGCCCCACATCGGGCTCCCTGCTCAGCGGGGAGTCTGCATCTCTCTCTCCCTCTGCCCCTGTTCCTATGCTCTCTCTCTTGCTCATTCTCTCTCTCAAATAAATAAAAAAAATCTAAAAAAAAAAAAAAGCACATTTCACCAACCAAGCCAGCCAGGTGCCCTTAAGATTATCTTTTTTTTTTTTTTAAGATTTATTTGTTTATTTATTTGACAGAGAGAGACACAGCGAGAGAGGGAACACAAGCAGGGGGAGTGGGAGAGGGAGAAGCAGGCTTCCCGCGGAGCAGGGAGCCCGATGTGGGCCTCCATCCCAGGACCCTGGGATCATGACCTGAGCCGAAGGCAGACGCTTAACTACTGAGCCACTCAGCCTCCCCTAAGATTATCTTTTTAAAATGTGGTTTCTTGGGGCACCTGGGTGGCTCAGTCAGTTAGGCGTCTGCCTTCGGCTCAGGTCATGATCCCAGGGACCTGGGATCGAGCCCCACATCGGGCTCCCTGCTCAGCAGGAAGTCTGCTTCTCCCTCTCCCACTCCCCCTGCTTGTGTTCCTTCCCTCGCTGTCTCTCTCTGTCAAATAAATAAATAAAATCTTTATAAAATAATAAAAAAATTGGGCGCCTGGGTGGCTGAGTTGGTTAAGCGACTGCCTTCGGCTCAGGTCATGATCCTGGAGTCCCTGGATCGAGTCCCGCATCGGGGTCCCTGCTCAGCAGGGAGTCTGCTTCGCCCTCTGACCCTCCGCCCTCTCATGTGCTCTCTCTCTCAAATAAATAAATAAAATCTTTAAAAAAAATAAAAATAATAAATAATAAAAAAATAAAATGTGGTTTCTTGTTTGTTTCTTCCCTAAAAAATATGGGGAAGGATCTGTGTCTTATTCATCGCTGTATCTTTGGGGTACCAAATGGTGCCAGGTATACAGTTTACTAAGTGTAGAATAAATGCGTTAAAAAATTATTTATTAGTTATTTTAAAGATTTTATTTATTTATTTGACAGAGAGAGAGAGCACAAGCAGAGACAGCAGCAGGCAGAGGGAGAGGGAGAAGCAGGCTCCCCGCCAAGCAGGGAGCCCAATGTGGGACTCGATCCCAGGACCCTAGGATCATGAGTGGAACCAAAGGCAGAAGCTTAACCAACTCAGCCACCCAGGCATCCTTGACTCTTGGTTTCTGCTTAGGTCGTGATCTCAGGGTCCTGAGGTGGAGCCCTGCCTCGAGCCCTCGTTCAGCAGGAGTCTGTTTGAAATTCTTCACTCCCCCACTCCTCCCCCCACCTCAAATAAATAAATAAAATCTTAAAAAAAAAAAGTGTCACTCTCTACTTTTCCCAGTGCTTTCACATACATCACCTTATTTAGCTTTCATTCATTTTTCGCTGCAATGGTAGGGTCCTTGGACAATGGCGAAAGACGCCAAAATCTTCTTGGGGACCAGAGAGACAGTGGATGAGTGATCTCTGCCTACATCTCCAGGAGGGGCCCCCAGAGAAGAGCTGTAACTGGACACCTTCCCCGTGTTCAAAGCAAAGATTATCGAAGACATATGTGTTTCTCTGGGGACTTACTCGTAGGGTCCCCAGAGTGGGGCACAGGGCGGGGTTGTTTCCCTGAGATTAAGGTAGCCATCTAGTGGACTCAGAGTCTCAAACAGATCCAGGCCCCGCAATTAAACTGCTGGGTGATCTTGGGCAGCAAGAAAGTTACCTGGTCCTCCTGGTCGCCTCTCTTTCTCCATCTGGGAAATGGGTAGGTAACATGGGCTAGGATTTCTGAGGTTCCGGAAGGTTCATCCTCTGACCCATTTAGTTGGTGGCTGCGCCAGCTAGTTTTAAATACTGGAAGAAGACTCAGTAAACCTTTCAAACTTAGGAATGAATGAAATAAACTGCTGTCGGAGTCAAGGGGCTGGAGACGCCAAACTGTGGGCGAGAACTAGGGTTTGCCGGTCATAAGGGGAGATCGAGGGGTCAGAGGTCGGGTTCCTGTCAAACCCGAGAAGAACCGGAAGTCCCAGATCCGGTCCACTCTGAGCCCGGGCCTCCCAGCCGCGTGACTAAAGCTCCCGAGGCGGAGCTTCAGCACCGGGAGGGGGCGGAGCTTGGGGCCTCCCAGTGGCATCGCGGGTGTCCTCCCATCTCAGCCAATCAGCGCAGGGAGACGGTAAAATTTAAACCCCCTCCCACCTCCTCCGCCGGGACCTGTCCCTAAAGCGCTTGTAGAAAGTGCGGCCGCTTGCCCCGCCCCAGCCAAGGAGGCGGGAATAAGGGCGGGCTTTCCCTCCTGTGTTCGCCTATCACAGCGGGCAGCCTGGGGAGAGGCGGGCAACTGCGCCAATCAGGGCAGCAGCCGTAGCTCCGCGGAGCAGTTGGCTACAGTTGTTGCAACTTTTTTCGAAAGCTGCGTTTCCCGGGAGATCCTAGGCGGTGACAGAGCCGGGCCATGGCTAGAGGTATTTGCCCAGGTGGTCAGCGCCGGGGCGGCTGGGGTGGGGGGTCGCGCTGAGCGGGGCCCCAGGGTGGCGGGAGCGGCAGCGGGGAGGCGCCCTGCTGAGTGGTCCGCTCGGATGGAGCGCGGAGACGGGGCTGGGGGAGTTGTTGCGGAACCTTCTCCGACCTACCCCTCTGCCAAGTCTCCAGAAGTCCCTCCCACTCCCATGCCTCCGTTTCCCCTTTCTAAAGTGTGAGCACCCGCTGGCCTGCTTCTCCAGGGACAACAGATCCATATGTCAAAGCTCTTAAGAGACTAAAGCGCAGGGCCCCTCCAGGGAATGGTTGTTAGTGATACGAGGAGGGGGGAGGGCAAGGCTTCGCCCATTTCGGGGCTCTCTCTCGCTGGGAAAGGAGGTGACTCCGAGGCCAGGGCGCAGATGGGTAACCTCCATCGTGGGGAGCGCGTCGGCGTGGACACCGCAGCAGGCGCCTTCTCTCTCCATGCCCTGAGTCACCTCATTTTTGGGGTGAGATGCGTCCTATGGCACCACCCGGGGCGAGCCTTCATCCTGCAGCTGGTCAGGACTCCTGCCCACGGGAGATGGCTTGGGTGGGATTGTCCAGCCGCGGGAGGCGATGTTCCTGCCTTAAGTCCTTCTTTGCACACTTAGTTTGCTGTCAGCGCAGTAAGACCCACGTTATGCGGCAAAGTGATCTCCAACCGCTGGTCATTTCCAGCCGCTGTGTCTCCTCCATGCAAAAACTTGAGCGTGACGGTTGAGTAGAATTATTATTTAAGAAAAATGAGTTGAGGTTTGACATTTTTCTCAAAATCCCAAGACAGTACAAGTTAGTAGGAATTTGCCTTAATGCAGTACGCTCCCTATAAAAATTATAATGAATAAAATAAGGATTCATTCAGCAAATATTTATTGGGCACCTTTGTTTTCAGGCCCTGCACGCAGTTGCATCCTTTATTATCCCAGAGTCCTTTTAGGGTCTTTTGGGACAACCCAGATTCTGATTAAGAAATGAGGCAAAGTGAACTTCAAGTTAACAGGCTTCATAACCCAATCCACAGAGAAAGCTAAGACGATTTTTTTTTCTTCAGAAGTGTTAAGCATCTAAAAGTATATTTAAAAGTATCTGACAAATCATAATAAATCTATGCTTCCGATTCATTTTTCCCATTACAGCAAAATCATTCAAGCTGTTTCAACGGTAGTGCCTTAAAAAAAGAAAAAGATGGCTTGCTTTAATTAATCTATAGGGAAAACAAAACTAAGCAATTTGCCACTGAAATATTTAAATAGTTAATATAGGCAAATAATAATTACCATTGAGGACCAGGCATTTTATTATCTCAGTTAATTTTTACAAATTGTTATTCCCATTTTTCAGAAGTGGAAGCTTGAAGTCCAAAGTCACTGTCTAGACTCTGGCCATGCTGTGCCTTTGCTTCTTACACTCTGTCTCCCTTAGCCAAAGTGAAGACAAGTGTTCCCAGCTCCTACCATGGCAGGCTTACAAATCACCTTTGTAATTTATTGGTTAGTAATTTTCCCTGTCTCGCCGGACCCCCAAACTAGTAGTTTCTTTTTCTTTCTTTCTTTCTTTCTTTCTTTCTTTCTTTCTTTCTTTCTTTCTTTCTTTCTTTCTTTCTTTCTTTCATAGTTACTTATTTCTTAAGGCTTCGTTACTCTTGTAGATTATTAAATTGGGCATTTGGTAGTGTAAATATCAAATCATTTAGAATACTTCGAATGAAGAGTCAGGCTTTTTCTTCTAGAAAAGCTGTCTTTGTTGCAAACTTGTAGTTCACTTTGAGAACCCTGCTGGGTCAACAAACAAAATGTTCAGATACCAGGCAACTCCTCTGTGGTTTTGAAGTTTTACAATCATGTAAATATTTTCAACCTTAAGTATATTAGTTTGAGGAGGATTAGTCCATCTGCTTTTCTCCATTTCTGTTGCCAGGGCCAGATGGCCTCCTAATTGGTCTCCCTCTTTCCACTTTTACCATTTACAATTTATTATCCCCCAGCAGCTAGAGTGATCCCCAAGAACACAGATTTTTTTCGTGTGACCTTCACTCCTCCTCCCTCCCCCACTGTTCTTAGGATCAAATCCTCAATCCTCACCATGGCCTATAGGGCCCTGCCTACCCCTCTGGCCTCAATGTGCTCCATCTGTCTTTATGTACACTGTTGTGTCCTTAGCAAGGGCCTGCAACAAAGTAGGTATTCAATAAATGTGGAATGAATGAATTGCTATTTTTGTGTCTGAGTTCAAGGGAAGCAATATACATTCTTTATGGTAGAGAACTCTCATAAGGCAGCACTGGGTTGAGGTCTCAGCTCTATTAACCACTTTAGTCGTGTAATCCTGAGTCAAGTGCTTCATCTTCCCTGAGCCTCAATTTCTACATTTTTTTTTTTAAGATTTTACTTATTTGACAGAGACACAGCGAGAGAGGGAACACAAGCAGGGGGAGTGGGAGAGAGAGAAGCATGCTTCCCGCCGAGCAGGGAGCCCGATGCGGGGCTTGATCCTAGGACCCTGGGATCATGACCTGAGCCAAAGGCAGACATTTAACGACTGAGCCACCCAGGCGCCCCTCAATTTCTACATTTGTGAAATAGGAATAGTACCTTCTCCTAAAGGGTTGGAAAGGTTAAATTAAATAATGCATTATTAATAGGGCCCAGCACATAAACATTGAATAAATGTTAGCTATTAGTATCATTCCTGTTGAATTCTATTTCTATGAGATCCTGGACAACATTAAGAGTTTTTATTTCTGCTGTTGGGTATATTTGTTACATACACATAAACACCTCCTGTCCAGAGACAGGAAAGACTTTGTTGAAGGTTACATCAAATGATTTGGTTTTTTTTAAAGATTTATTTATTTATTTGAGAGAGCGAGAATGAGCGAGAGAGAGTACATGAGAGGGGGGAGGGCCAGAGGGAGAAGCAGGCTCCTCGCTGAGCATGGAGCCAGATGCGGGACTCGATCTGGGGACTCCGGGATCATAACCTGAGCCGAAGGCAGTTGCTTAACCCACTGAGCCACCCAGCACCCACATCAAATGATTTGTATTAGATCTTCTAGTACCAGAGCTGCAGAGTTGAGGAATGGGTGCTAGACTTGGATCTTAATGTAGGTACCCCCTGCATTTGAGGGCCAAAATAGTCAAAGCTGTGGCCCTGAGCATGTGTGTGTGGTTGGGGGTGGGGGTGGGAGGATGTTGAAATAGCACGTGAAGTAGAAAAGATGACCTGATGACCTGAGTGGCTGCTTCCTGTTCTCAAACCACGGTTCCCGTGATAGTTTGGTGACAAACTGCAAAATTCTCTGCCCTGGAGCGTTAGCACTCTGTTTCAGAAGGCTTGACCTGCATGTCAGAGTGTCACTTTAGAATCCTTTTTCACTCTCTGCATAGTCTCTTGGGTATTCAAGTAAGTGGAGTATCCCATCCTACTGGAGTTAGTGTTGGGGTGGGGATTGCGGGGGGGAGGGGACAGATGTAGGAAGGAGGGTGCTCCCCAGCCCTGTCCAGGATGCTAAAGCATGAACTGATTTGGGAGATGTTGTCCTGAGCCTATTCCTGCCATTTAATCCTATTTCGTCTTATCCCTTCTTAAGGGGAGGCAGCTACTTCAAGTGACAGCCATTTGTTTCTCTGTGGATGTTGGAAGGCGCCCTGGGTGGGTTAAGGAATTCAAGGTTCTTGGTTCTTATCCACAAGGATGCTGAGGCCTAGTCCAGGGAAGTGACTTGGCCATGGTCACAAAGCACCTCTGGGGCAGATGCAGGGAGAGAAACCCAAGGCTTGCCTCCCAGGCCATGACCCAAGCAGTAGGAGCTAGATGCCCTGAGGTATCTTGTTTGCATCTATGACTTAGCACAAATACGTGACTCTTGGCTGTGGGCCCTCAAACCCTAATGGCTTCAGCACAGTGGTGCAGGGCAGTGAGTTCTTCCAACACAGGACACCGCACTGGCTGGAACCCCTGCCTTCCTAGGACATTTTCTCATGTTGGTGGACGGGAGAACCAGGTGACTTGCTAAACGCTTTTGCAACAGCCTCTGTCCCTCCCATCTTGAATTTCCTCATCTGTCACTGGGAGTGCAGGCTCTGGGGGTCATTTGGCCTGGAAATTCATTTTCAGTTCTGAGAATTTGGCCAAGCCTCCTCACTTCCCTGAACCTCAGTTTCCGCATCCGTGGAAAGGATAGAATAATGGTGTGTACCTTCACAGGGCTGTTGTGAGGTTTGGATGAGATGGTGTATGCACGGGAAGCACCCCACCAACTTGCCATTAAAACCACTGGCTCTATCTCCCCAGGGCCTGAACGGGTCAGGTGCAGACCGCCTGGGTTTGACACTTGACCCCGTCGCTTTCTAGTTTTGTGGCCTTAGGCAAGCCGCTGCACCTCTCTTGAGCCCCAGTATCCTCATTTTTAACGGGTTTGCCACAGGACCTGGGCCCCTCTCCCCCCGGAGGGGGACTTGCGGGAGGATTAAATGCCCATAAAACGCTCAGGGAGCACAGGCTCGGGCACAGAGGAAGACTCTCGCCTGTGGCGCTCACCGCTGCTGACTGCGCCTGGCACCGACAGGTCTCCCAAAATATCCGCGGAGCCAGCGAGAGCAGGAGCCTGGCCGGCGGGAGCCTGGGCTGTCATTATCATGTTTCCCACCCCTTCCTCCCCGAGTGGCTGAGGACGCACGAGAGGGGGCGCGCCCGAGTCGGGATTCGTCGCGGCCGCGCGGCCCGCCCTCCCCCCTCCCCTCCTCCCTCCGGAGGAGCCTCGCAGCGCCGCCCCTGCCAGCCCCCTCCCCGGGCCGGGAGCCGGACGGTGGGCGGCGGCGGCTGCGGCGGCGGCGGCGGCGGCGGCGAGCGGGCGGGCCGCGCAGGACGCGCCGCCAGCGCCTCCCCTCCCAGAGTCCTCGGTCCCGGGCCGGCCGGGGCTGCCGCGGCGCGCTGGTGCCGGGCCCTGCCTCGCAGGCCATGGGGGAAGGGGGCGCCGTGGGGCGCCGCCGGCCCTTCCCCGGGGCGCCGCGGCGGCGCTGGTGGCGGCGGCAGCAGCAGC